AGTGGCAAGCAAGTATGGGATTAAGTAGAGTCTGGTCGACGACTGATGTGAGTTTTTTTTTTCAAATAAAAAAAACGAGGAATACTGTAACATACGGTAACTAAAAATAATTGAAAACCAGGGTTTTCTAACTGAAACTACTGTATTTCCACCGAAATAACGTAACACCTCCACTTGTACTATGAGCGCAAGAAGGCCGCCCAAACCGCTGACTTTGAGCCCTTATATCTTGGCTCCTGTGAAAGATATCAAAAAGTGGTCAATTGATAAAATGCTGTTGATATTATGATAAATAATTTATCAGTTGACAAATTTTTAGTATCTTTTACAAGAACCGAGATATATGGGCTCAAATTTAAACAATAAAAAATCGAGCTGATTGAGGTCAAATTGGAACAATATGTAGGTTCGGTTGTCAATAACAGGATATACTGTATCTCGATCAAAAACAGTACTATTCAAATAAGTTTAGTTCTCACACAAAATTTCAGAAAGATGGTCCCACATCTCATATAAACGAAAAAGGAATCGGATGGATAATCGCCGCAATTTTCATCATCGGAGAAACCGCTGGCGGTGGAATGATTGCTCTTTCCTATGCTCTCACATCAATGGGTCTGATTCCCGGGCTGATTCTTCTTCTCCTATGTTCTGGATTCTCACTTTATACAGCCCTTGAGCTGTGCTGGACTTGGAAAATCATGCAAAATCGATGGCCAGAGTATAGAGGAGATCAGTGAGTTTCCCAGTTTTTGAATAAGAGGAAGTTATCAGTCCAAAAAAAAATAGTTCCGCTTTGTGTCCTAATTTGAAACGTTAATGTGATAAAGAGTATAGATGTGATAAACAGTACTTCGTATCGCAGTTGATCTAGGGAAAATCATACCTATGATAAATATATATTTTGGATATTGGAAATGAAAAAAGGATTGAAGAATGGCTACAAAAGTTATTATAAATTTTCAGCCTGTTCTGAAAGTTAGGAAAATATCAACCATAAATAAACTTGATTTTTGTAGTGAACATCAAGATCGGACAATTTCAATATAGCGTAAAACCTGTAATACAAGGGCCTCCTAACTTTTCACTTGGAGCTAATTTATATCGGTTCCTGTCCAAGATAAAAACAATTTGTTAACTGACGAAATATTCTTGTTGATATGATAAGCATTTTGTTAATTTATCACTTTTTGATATCTTTCACAGAAAGTGAGATATATGGATCAAAGTAGATGATCAAAGTAGATCTAAGTAGATGGTTTGGGTAGAATTATTACAGTTTTTACGGTGAACAGTTTTTTGGCGATACCAAGGAAATAGTGAACAGATTCAAATTCTAAATTTTATCCTAAATCTCCTAAATCTCCTCATTCGAAACAAAAAAACCATTTTCAGCTGCCGCAAGCCGTATGGAGAAATGGCATACAGAACAATCGGTCGTAAAATGAGATCCTTCATTGCCTTCATGATCTGTATCACTCAAATCGGATTCGCCACTGTTCTAGTTCTCCTTGCCGCCAAGAATCTTTCCATTCTACTGCACTTCTTCTTTTCTTTAGATATCAACCAATGTTATCTAATTCTAATCGTTGGACTTGCTGTCTGGCCAGCCACCATGCTCCCATCACCAATGCATTTCTGGCAAGCTGCTCTATTTTCCGCAGGCTCCAGTACATTTGCAGTGATTCTCGTGGTTATAGGATTGGCTCATGATGCTCCCGTGTGCTCTCAAGATGTTCCACACGAGGAGCCCAACCTTCTGAAGGCTTTCATGGCGTTCGGAACATTTGTGTTTGCATTTGGAGGTCATGCAACGCTTCCAACGATTCAACACGATATGAGAAAACCCGCTCATTTTGTGCATTCTGTGGTTTTGGCTATAATTTGTAAGTAGCCAGATTGATTCTTCTGGGAATTAATCTGATTTCTTATTTTTCAGTCTGCACATGCTTGTATCTTTGTATTGCTGTTGGTGGATATTTAGTTTACGGAAGCACCGTTGGGGAAGCAATTATTCCTTCGCTACAAATCAAATGGATTCAACAAACTGTGAATCTGATGATTGCTGTTCACGTTATCACTACCATTGTTATTGTTATGTCACCACCGATTCAACAAGTTGAGGCGTTACTCAAAGTACCACATAGTGAGTTTGAAGATAGCTCTTTTGTGTTTTTGAATTTTTGGAATTTTTCGGAATTTTGGAATTTTTGAAATTTCGTAAATTCTTGAATTTGGGGAATTTTTGAAGGTTTTTGGATTTTTGAAATTTCAAAAGTTTTTGAATTTTTGAAATTTGTAAACTTTTGAAATTTCGGGTTTTTTAAATAAATTTTAGAAACTTTGAATTTGCTAAATTTCTGAATTTTCTGAATATCTGAACTATTGGAAGTCTTGTATTTTTTTGAACTTTTGGAATTTTCGGCTTTTAGAATCTTGGATCTGAACTTTTAGAATTTTAGAATTTTGGATTTTTGGAATTTACAAAATAGTATTTGAATTTTTTGTATTTTTTGAAATTTCAGAATTTATGAAATTTCGGATTTTCTGGATTTTTTTTGGAAATTTCGGATTTTTGGAATTTTTGGAACTTTTTGAATTTTCAGAATTTTAGAATCTCGGAATTTCTGAATTTTTAGAATTTCAAGAATCTCTGAATTCTTGAAATTTCTGAGGTTTTGAAACTTTTGAATTTTTTGGAATTTTCGGAATTTTTTTGGAAATTTTTGAATTGTTCGAATTTTAGAATCTTGGAATTTTGAATTTTAGAATTTTTAGAATTTCGGATTCTTCAATTTTTGGAATTTCTGAATTTTTAAAAATTTCTGAATTTTCGAAATTTTCTGGATTTTGGAAATTTTTGGAGATTCTAAATTTCTGAAATCTCTGAATTTTCGGAATTTTTTTGGAATTATTTGAATTTCTAAATTTTTTGAAATTTCTGAATTTTTGAAATTTTGCATTTTCTGGAACTTCTGGAACTTTGGGTCTTTTGGAGTTTCTGGAACTTTTTAAAATTTTAGAATTTTGAACTTTTCGGAATTTCGGAATATCTTGAAACTTTTGAATTTTTGGAATTCTTAAAATATTGTAGATTCCAAAAACAAATCAAAACTTTTCAGAATTTGGAATTAAACGATTCCTGGTTCGTACGGTGCTTTTCTGGTTCGTCATCTTCATTGGCCTCTCTATTCCACATTTTGGGCCCGTTCTTGATTTGGTACGGTTTCGAAATTCTCCTCTAATCGGTCACATAATACTAAAAACAACAATAACTTTTCAGATCGGAGCATCCACGATGGTTCTGATGACCCTAATTCTACCTCCAATCTTCTATCTCTCTATCAGAACTCAGGAAGTAATTTGGCTTCAGGAAAATGAAAAAAACGAAGATGTAGCAGAACCACATCACGAAAGAGTCACTTTCAAAGAGTGAGAAGAAAGTCAGAAATTTAAAAAAAAAGAGAATATTTCAGAATCCTCCGTCTAACTCCTAAGCCAATTCTTGCCTTGAACGCTGCTGTTCTAATATTCGGAATAATTGGAGGAACACTATCAACAATCACTTCTCTCATCCGCCTAGCTGATTCTGATATGGCAGCACCATGCTACTGGCAATACTTTACAAAAGGTCTCCCATTCTCCGGTGACAATACTGGATCTGTTAGCTGTTGCGGTACATACCGTAACCTTACAGTATCCGGACAAAGCCCGATTGGATATTGTTCGCATCCCGATTTTTAATACGTTTTTGAATACGAGTATTTATTTTTTAGAGAAATAAACCCTTACCTTCTTCTCACACTTCAATAGAGAACACAACTGTGACATCTTCTTTAAAACTCGATCATCTTCTCTAGAAGATTCCAATTTCCTCTCGACAGTTTCCAATTGAGAAAGTGTGTCTTTTGATATCTGAACGTCTTCTAAAGCGACTTTGAACAAAAGTTTGAATCTATTGCTCTCCAGAAAATCCATAGACTGTGATCTAAATTTTCAGAATCTCGACTTCTTCTCTGTTTCAGATTCTTACGTCAATTTATTGTACATAACCTTTGCTTTCTTCTTGACACTGGTCACCAGTAAAAGATCAGAGAGCATAAAAATACATCGTTCCCGGTCTGTCCCTTTCAAAGTGATGATGTCATGTCGGAGAAGCGTCCTCTCTTTTGTCACCAACTGAAATATTCAGAATATTGTTACAGATCAGAAGATCAAAACCCACGTCATCTAATCCATCAACTATCGCTTCGATTTCTCTTAACCTCTGTTCCATTTGTTCACTTCCGTCTTTATGTTGATTTATGGCAACTGCCAGACAGTGGATATGACGTTGAGCTCTTTGAAGACGTTCACGATCTTCGTGTTCTACTGGAGTATGTTTCAGCATTTGTTTCACGATCAACTCGTATCTGGGAACCCGTTGGATTGGAGAGATCAGGAGAGCATCCAAGTCTAGTTTATTCGGATGATCTCGGCAACATCTCTGGAATTTAAAATAGGAAAAGTAGCCTCTGATTTATACTTAAACTTCTACACCTGGACCAAAAGTTTGTACTTGAATAAAATTTGAGTTGGACTGAGATGCTCTTTATAGAAATTTACCTACTACTAAAATTCCGAGAAAAAAACACCAAAATCCTAAAATGTCCTGTATTTTCAATGAGTCATAACTTTTTTCTTGGAAGCGCTACACAAAAACTATCAACTACGAAAATGTAGTTTCTTATTTGAATCATAATAATTTTATAACGAAATTGAAAAAGTCTTCATTCCGAATTCGCACGGCTTCATCCAACGAATGACCTATTAGGTTTTTCGGAAAGTCCTTTCCATTTTTGATCTGTTGTTTTCAAACTTTGTTTTTTTGAACGGGGTAAAAGCGAGGAAGCTGTCGTTTTATCAGTATATTGGTGGGGTCTAATAGTGTCTGCACCCCAACGGAGATCATTCCCCCCCCCCTTTTCGTGTAATGAGATATGCTCACCGTTTTCGGCTCTATTAATTTCCATTTTTGGACTATCATTTTAATTGTATTTTTATCTGATCTTAAATTAGCTGAAATCGAACGCCAACTAGTAGCGGTTAACAACGCAAATGCACCCATTCGAACTACTATCACAACCTGGATTCAGTAATTTGAAAAACGGGAATTCTTGTTTGACGAAAATCCCCCTTCAAAAAGGCAAATGGGCTTACATTAGGTTTGCATGCATTAAAAGCTGGGAAAGAAAGGGACCCTCCTCAAACTGTGTGTGAAATATGAAGTACATCAGCGGCAAGCCTTTCGTTAAAAAACCGTAGATTGAAAACTCTCGGCACAGTCAAAAAGTGGGAAGAATTGACCACATCTTTTGGCTCAACGCAACTTTTTTCCCCGGGTGGGCACCTGTTTGAATCTTCTCATCCTGCGTTGCACACATAAATGTTGGAATCAAACCATTGCTAGTGGTGATAAATGGGTAAAGTGTGATTACAATAAGCAACATGCTAAGTGGGTTGACAAAGGCACTCAACCACCAGACGTCTCGAAACGTGAAATTCGTGTTAAAAATGGGATGTTGTCGGTATGGTGGTCTACCAAAGAATGGAGTATTAGGAGCTGCCTGATAATAGTGTCCCTTTTACGACCCATACCTATTCTTGATAATGATGGTCATTACATCTAATTTATCCGACATCGTTTTGACCTATTTTACTTTGAATGTATCTGACGCTAAAAATGGAAAGGACTTTCCGAACAACCTAATACATAATCACCCGGACTCGAGTTTGTACTAGCATAAAAATTGTGTATAGCGTTGTATTGTGCTGAAACTTATTATGCAAAAAGTCTAATGATTCGTCTGTAAACTGGCCAAGTTTCAGATTATTTGATCAAATTTGAGCTGATATATCGTTTGTCAAAGTTGCTTCATTTGATGAAAACCACAAGAAACATTACACCCGTTTATCTTTGGACAGTCATAACAATACCTACCCTTTAGGAATTGCTTTGAAAATTTCAGTAGCCCTTAATCAAACATGAACTTATATTTCTATCAAATTTCATTCTTTCAAGATACTTATGTCCAAAGATATACTCGTTTTTATCAGTCCGGATAATTGTGCACCACATTAACTCACACTATAATATTTTTCAAATGCATGTTTCTGTCTTGCTTGGGATATTGCTGCCTTTGCAAATTTGAAATTATCAACAAACGCGATATAAGTCTCAATCATTGATTGCTTGGAGAACTGAAAATGTCATTCTTACAAAGCTAAAAAACTGTAAAACCCACATGAGCCAATAAAACATCTCCGATGATTGCATCTTTATGCCACTGTTCTATCCGTTGACTCAACGTCGTCAGAAGCACTTGATGATGTGCCAGAATTTCCGGAATTCGGTAGAAGATTTTATCGACAAGACTCGCTTCGATCAGAGTGCATTCGAGGGGCTGACGAAGAGGTCGCATGTATTTCTATAATTTGGAACTATAGAATAAAGAGAAAAATTAGGTTAACCCATACCGTAACCAAAAACTCCAAGCCTTCTACAAACGATTTTTCGGTATCTAAAAGCTCTCTGGCTGTCAAGTGCCGTACACTATAATGCCTTCTTAAACTGGCTCTACTCCTCTTTTTCCATAACAAAATATCTGCTTCATGAAGAGAATCTTCCATTCCACAAGACTCTAGAGCAGTTTCTCCTCCATCTGAATACACATATGGATTCCAAGAAATTGAAGGATGCTGTTCTGGCGAAGTAGGTCGACTTCGGAATGTATCCAAAAGTTTTGCAAATCGATTCACACCGGCTAGAGTTTCAGAAGGGCGATCTACCATGAGAGATGTTGATGAGGAGAACATCTCATCTACGATTCCACGTCTTCTGAAATTTGAAATCAGAATATATTCTTTTTTTTTTGTGCAGTATCCCCACCTATTCCTAACATTCGGAACAGGATCTGATTGCATTTCACTGCTCATAAAACCATCTGGAACAGATGACTTCCTGGAAATCGAATTCCGTCGAATCTCAGAAGTCGGGACGAATTGGTCATTTCTGATAGAAGGTATGAATTGCATAACGCCACGTGGATGACCCAACCGAGTGGAAATCCCAGAACGACGGCCTCCATCGGTGGTGTCTGTAGCCAATGAGACATCGTCCACATCGGAGAATACTGAAGATTCTAGACACGACTCAATCGGATCAACAGTTGGAAGAAGACAACGATTACCTCCACGATCAGAAGATACTTGGGATGGATAGGCAAGAACTCTTTGAAGGGATTGAATACTTTTCGCCGCGTCTTTTAATTCTTCAATTTCTGTAGTCATTTCACCACCCGAATCCGAATCGTGACGGTGATTCTGAAATTGTGATTTCGGTAATTTGAAACTGTTTTAGTTGGAATTCGTGAGCAAGTTGAGCTCATTTTTCGAACTACCGTATTTCCTCCAATAGAAGCTCACCCAAACCGTTAACGTTGAGCTCAATTATCTCGGTTTCTGTGAAACATATCAAAAAGTTGTCAACTGGTAAACTTTTTATCATAGTATCATAAGAATTTTATCAGTTGACACAATCTTGATATCTTTCATAGGAACCGAGATAATTGAGCTTAAAGTTGATGGTTCGGGTGGGCTTCTATTAGAGGAAATACGGTATCCAAATTTGAGTTAAAATGTAAAAAAAGAACTCACAACTCTTGACCTTGACGTTGATGCAAACTTTGGTAGAGACAGTAACAACTTCTGAAGAGCCTCCACGTCTATCTGAAATTCAAAAATTCCAGAAACCATAAATTTCTAGAATCCTATTACAGATGGCATATCCACATTAGGCTCACTGTTAGTTTTCCTCAGATTTTGCTGAGATGCTCTTCTAGTTTCACTTCGTTCCCGACTAGCTCTGACCATACTTCTGCGTCTCTCACGTTGACGTTCTCTCTCGTTGAAAAAGTTTAGATTTGCATCGCTACGTCTTCTGAAGGGATGAGGTTATAGAGTATGAAAATAAATGCTGTAAAACCTGTAATACAGAAGGAGCGTTAACTTTGAGCCACTTTATCTGGGTTCCTATGAAAGATATAAAAAAGTTGTCAACTGATAAATTTTTTATCATAATATCACAAGCATTTCATCAGTCGGCAAATTGTTGATATCTTCTACAGCAAAAAAGTAATATGAGCTCAAAGTTGACCGTATGGGCCCTTCTATTACAGGTTTTACGGTAGATACCCTAACCTTGAATTATAGAAAGAGTTCCTAGTGCTCGGTGATACGGTAGCCGATCTTTTGGGTCTTGGCACAGCGATGACGGGCGGCGGTGGTGTGTCGGTTGAACTATCCGAGTCATCGGCATCGTTCGGGTTGAGCATCGAAAAGTTGCGGGGAGAGAAAAAGGAAAATATAGTGGAAATCAGAGAGGGCTCCAGAGCTGGCGGCAAGGTAGCAGTTTGAAACTTTGAGCTCGAAAAAAAAATCCTTCTCTGAAATGCCGTTGTCATCTGTTGTTTCTATCGAGTCTCAGAGGAACAGAAAGAAGAAAAAGAAGAAGTATGAATTGAACTTTGAAAAGTGAGAGAGGCAATACTGCCAGGTGTAATTGACTCTTCTTTGTTGTGAGAAAAGAAGAAGATAAAGAAGATATTGGAGAAGGAAACAGGGAAACCTAGGGAAGAGAAGTAAAAACGAGAGCTAACTTTTTGACCTTGGGACAAAACCAGGCTTTTTGGGGATTCGATAGTATCCTCCATAATTTTCGATTGCTTAGAATTTTAGAATGTTAGAATTTTAGAATTTTAGAATTCTAGAATTTCAGAATTTTAGAATTTTAGAATTTTAGAATTTTAGAATTTTAGAATTTTAGAATTTTAGAATTTTAGAATTTTAGAATTTTAGAATTTTAGAATTTCTGAATTTCTGAATTTCTGAATTTCTGAATTTCTGAATTTCTGAATTTCTGAATTTCTGAATTTCTGAATTTCTAGATTTCAGAATTTTAGAATTTTAGAATTTTGGATTTTCAGAATTTTAGAATTTCAGTATTTCAGAATTTCAGTATTTTTGAATTTCAGTATTTTTGAATGTTAAGATTTTAGAATTTTAGATTTTTAGAATTTTAGTATTTCAGAATTTTAGATTTTTAAAGACAGAAGAATTGTTGGGTTTTTAGAACTGTCAGATTTATAGATTTTCTATAAATTGCTGAAACTGAGAAGTCTCAAAAAGAAAAAATTTAATTCTCGATTTTCAGAAACTTTAAGCTTTCTTTGAGAAAAAAATCAACAAATTTTTCCAAAAAGTTTTTGGGGAAGATTCTGAAGATAGATTCGAGTCAATCAACAAAAAAAATCTGAAATTGGATTTTCAACATGATTGAAATCTTTGTCTTTGGCGCTAGATTCAAAATAAATGAGCTTTACAGACGATGAGAATGCCGCTGGTCACTTGTGTGTACTCTCTGATTTAGAATCAGAAGATCACTATGACGTCACTAGAATTCCGAAGACTACTACTAAAAAATGTCAGACGGGAAAAAAGAGGAAAACATTTCCAGAACTGATAACTCGACGATGAGGGCGGATACAAGATGTGATAAAGGCCAATGAGCAGCCAGCAAGACAAAAGTGACCAATCAATGCGTAGTATCGGGCTGGGCGCCCCCAACTTGATGAAGGAAAAGTAGTAAAGACGACAGCTGACGTGGAAGCTCCGTTCCAGCTGTCTGGAGCCTACCTGATGGCCGGAGACGCAGCAGCCGAGTGACAAGACCATCACTCAATTGTGGAGAGGGGAGGGAAGGTCAACTTCAATGGTTACAATTAAAAGCGCAGGAATCACTTTATGAACGGCGAGCAGTACATTTTACAGAGAATATCGAAATGAATACATGTGAGATACTAAACTGAAAATCATATATACATTAATAATTGTGAGTAAATTAGTGGCATTGAGAGAGAGTTGAGAAATCGACACATTCTCCGTCGACGGCCGAGAAGACTGAGTTCGGCTCAGCACATTGATGTTTGATGAGCTGACCATCGGAACATTTGTGGTATTCACGAGAGCACAGAGCGACCGAGAAGAGCCCATCGACTTCGCAGTCGTAAGTAGCCATTGGCGCATCACGAATCAACAAAGTCTCTGAAACAATGCAGATTAGAGGAAAGTTATGAGATATCAAGTGAATACCTTCTAGTTGACATTTTTGGGAGGTTTCCGGATAATCACAAATAAGCGACTTCTCATTGAAAACTAGGTTTGACGGACATTCAAAGATCTCTTCCTTTCCGTCTTGACAAGATAATACGCGTGGAGTACACTCGAGAGCATAGAGACCATTCTCCATGTTCACACATGGAGTCAGCTTGGAATCCTGTTCTCCATATCTAGAATATCCAGAACTCTCCTCTAGTGGTTCTCCTGATGACTCGACATCGCATTCTGACACGTTGCGTTCATAATCGCACATTTGGGTTCTTTGAGAGAATTTCAGTCCGTTGGGGCAGAACATTACAATGGTACGTCCATTTGTACAAGCGGTGAACGAGGAGGAGCATTTGCCATACGAGAAATATCCATTCTGTTCGCAAGTTGGTTTTGGCGCCTCGACTCCGGAACATCCAACAACGTTTCTTTGCC